TGTTTTATGGTAATATAACATGTCGTTAACAAAAATTTCTAGAAATTTAATATTAATAAATCGTAATAAGCCAACAAAGCTCTTGTTAAATGATAATATAGTAGCTCCACATTTACTGCTACCAAATATAATAAAATATTCAACTTTATCAATAAATATCTACTCTAATAATCATCAACAGCAAAACTATAGAAAAGCCATTTCAACACGCGTCCGTCAATTTGTTACTAGTATTGTTGATGATAGTAGTAGTAGTTTGGAAACTGACGCAGAAGAAAAGTATCAAGAATTAAAACGAAAAATTAGTGAACTTGACCAGACAAAAATTAATTATTTGGCAGCAAATGAAGAATGCGACAAACTCAAAAATAGTGAGGATTGGAGTAGATTAGTGGTGGAATTTGTTGATGAAAATAAAATTACAATAGCACTTAAACTATTTGACAAGGTATAAAATAATATTTTCCTATTATTAATATTAATTAATGTTGTCATGATTATTATTAATGAATTTATCTTCGAAATAGATGAAATCATTATCATTGTTTCCTAACCAAGAAGCATTCACTGCAATGTTGAGAGGTTTAAGTGAAGAAAACGTTTCGGCAAACCCCGTAAGACATTTAAGAAAAATTATTGATTTGATGAATGCAAAAAGCAAAACAAATCCTGAATATAGACTTGAAACTGAGCATCTAAATTACCTATTAAAAACTTGTCAAAATTTTGGCAATCTTAGTGCTGCATATAGTTCTTACGAAAAATACGTAAAAAATGGAATTGTGAAACCAGACAAATCAACTTATTTATGCTTATTGGCAACAAGTATTAAACCTGCTTCAAGTGATCCAAGATTAGCTCAAAAAATAGCAAATGATATATGGGATAGTTTGGATAAAAGCATGGATGTGCAAAATAATGATAATAACTCTGTACCTATTGATGACGAATTGGTTTGTAATATACTTGCAACATACAAAAGTAATCATCATTTAAAAGATGCGTTTAGTATTATTGATTATACATATGGAATTGGTAAATATCAATCATCATCATCAGCTTTAAATTTACCAATTACACAGGATTCTTTAAATACTATTATTAATATGTGCATTGAAGGAAGAAGATATATCTTGGGGTTAAAATACTATAACCAGATCATTGAAAAATATCCAAACATAGAACCTGATATTAGTGCTTACAATGGTTTAATGTCTCTGTACAATTCAACATATCAATACAATAAAATTTTAGAATTATTTAATGATAAAATAAAAGATACAGAGATAAAACCAAATAGAGAAACATTCAAAGCAGTGTTGATGGCATGCCATAATCTTCATAGTTTAGATGGTGTAAAATATTTCATTGAAAACTACTCGGAAATAGGAATTGATTTCAAAGAAATAGATATAATAGAATTGATGAAGTCATCTATTAAGCGAGCCAGAATTAATGGAAATCCTGATGATATTATTTGGTTACTGAATAAATTAGATGAGGCAGATCCTGTCAATGTCCAAAATAAACAACTCCCCCAACTTAAAAACATGAATAAACCTTTATACCTAACTATCATTAATCTTGCTTACGATATTGTATTAAAGGCAGAGAACTTGTCAGAAGATAAAAAAATTCAATGGCAAAAAGACAAAAGGTTTTTTGAAGAAAAATATGCAGAGGTTTCTGATAAACTTGAAAAAATATTACAAGACCAAATGATAAATAATATTAAAACTCCTACAAAATCTCTACTAGACAATAAACTAAAACAAATGCCTGTGTCAGCACCACCTTCATCACAAAGACAATTCAATGCAAAATATAATGAACAGTTTGGAAATCATTATAACCACCAAATATGAATTATGATCCCACAAGCATACAATAATGGAGGATATAGTTCAACATCTACACCACCACCCATCAAAACCATCATCATCTTAACAATAATCCATCTCATTATCCCTCTCCACAATAATACATCATATAATGATAGAGGATATATTGAATCTCTTGCTTCTTCTTCACCATCTCAGCAACAACAATACAAACAACAACAACATCTTCTTCCAACTCCAAAAATTCATCATCCATCACCACAACAACAATATTATAATAAAAATGGTGGATATTATGGACCATCAGGCATGAGCTATAGCTCACCTGTACATAGTAATGAAGGACATAGACCATCACATCAACAATATTACAATAATAAAAGACCCAGCAATTATCAAAAACTGACTCATGTCCAGTTATAACCCACCATCAAATAAAAAATCATATGATGGAAGTCGTTAATGAATGTCATCATCATCATCATCATCATAAACATCATGATGATAGTAATAAAAGAGTGGTAACATGTGTGTATATATATATTTTTTGTTCAAATTTAATGATTTTTATGATTTTTATGTGTAAATTTACATCTATATTTATGTGTTAAATACATCTGAAAGAAGGCTTGCTCTACTTGAATAGAAAAATCGCTAATACCTCTTTTCTGAATGGTAAGTAAATCGATCAGTAAAACATAGGTTTAATTATGTGGACACATAGATATAGGACACGTTTTAAAATATAGGAAAATATTATATAATCTTTTACAAAGAATTGATCATATAACTTGTATGTTTATAACCTTTATTGTTGTTATTAATATTACATTAACATAAACAGATATTTTGCATTGATTAACCCGAGTTTGTTTGATACAATATAATTAAAATTTTGGCTGGAATAAATTATCACTCCACCCAAAATTTTAATAAGTCTAAATTAAGAATCAATTTTCTTGCATGATTTATACGCAATAAACTTTTCGCATGTCAAGATTTGGCACCTCTTTCTATATTACTATTAAAAGGATTTTTTTTGTGACACGCATTATACTGCGTTAATACAACCAACAATAACTTGGACTTAATATTAAATATACAGTAACTTCCGCCCATATGTATTTTCTGTGCCTCTCTGTTCGCTATGGAAATATCCACCAATAGGAAGAGAGAGCTCGTTGCGGAGAGTGTGGTTTATTTAGTTAATATTATTAGGGTTTTACTGGGAAATTCCGATAAACATTTCAAAATATTAATATTAATATATTAAATCCGGTAAAATTTTGCCAATCCAGTTTTTTAACCGGATAAATTGAAGACCAACCTTATAACAATATAAATATTTATAGTGGGGATAAAACAAAAGACTTTGACTAATTGTGGGAAGAATACTTTTTGGCGAGAGTACTTGGTTTCTGTTATTATTGTTCTAATGAAAAATACTAATTAGTATAGATTTAAAAATTATTATTATTATGTATGATAAATTATTTTTGAAAAAAAAAAATATTGTTTAGAAAAAATTTTTATCTATTTGACAAATTTATCTATTTCATGCTTATTGACACGTAAAATTTTTGTCGATCGTCGTCTAATTTTTTAGTCGAAGAAAATCTTTATTTGCTATTATCCCGATTTGTCGAATTCACGTTATGCGTAAATTAAAAAAGGAATGTGAATTAAATTAATCAATCAATCGAGTAATTAAAATTAGATTTTTGAATTGCTGCTAACATCAATCAATCATAAATGTATTAATTTGTCCACTTAGAAATCCAATTAATTAATTAATTAACAAATGCCGCAAGTAAATAATAATAAGTAAACAGCAAAACAACAAACACACAATAAAAATTATCAATATTTATAATATTTATGCTAAATTTGTAATAATTTATTACAATTAATAAATACAAAAAAAAAACTAAAACTAATTGCCAAATTCCAACTGGAAACCTTTTTCAATCGGCCAACCAACCATTCATCCGTTGCTCATTTTTTTTTTCTTTACTAAATTAAGTCTTTTCATCTTTACTAAATTAGTTTTTTTTATTAGATTTTAAAAAAAATTTTATTTTCATAGTTGATTATTTGCATATAAAATAATCGGTGACGCGTGATGATTAACTAATTTTTGCTACATATAATAAATAAAATTTGTATCACAATAAATTTGATTAATATAAAAAAAATGGTGATTTTACATGAGATTATGAGTTATTGCGTGTTCACTACATTTTTCAACTTTCCTTATATGGAATTTATTATTTGCTTGGTCAATTTTAGAACAAGATTTATTTTTATTAATTAAGTACAAAGAATATCAGCCATCAGGAGAATAAATTAATAATAGTAGTTGATTATTTTTATGCGCGAGTGGTGAAACTTAATAAATTACTGGTGATGATCTATTTTTAATGGCTGTAAAATAGATACAAAGAGAGGTTGATTTTTAATTAGAGAGATCTTCCCTCAAATTATATGATATATAAATTAAGATCACAAATAAAAATATTTATTATTATTTACATAATATATACATAATATTATACATAACTACAATATATATAAATATATATTAATTAAAACAGAAGATAATAAATGTGAGATTTTGATTGGTGCATTTTAGATTACATATACATATATAAGTAAAATATGCTGCATTATTATCTCCAAACAAAAAAGTCTCTAATTGATTGAATTATTATTTTTAGGTGAGTGAGTGAGTGACTTTTCGCTTTTCTTTCTTTATAACAAAAAAAAAAACTGTCGTGCAATACATTTATTACGCGTACAGTACTACAAAAAAAATTTTAAAGACCAACAGAATTTTGCTTTCTGTCCCTCTTTCTTCAACTTTAATAACTGCTTATTTCTTTTTTTTTTCTTCAACTTTTTTTTTTAAAAAAAAAATTTTTTTTAAGTGTGCATACCAATCCTTTTTCTTTAATAAAAATATTATCAATATATATAATATAAAAGCCTCCAAAGAGTGCTCTTTTTATTATTTTTTAATAAATAACAAAACACACGCGTATTTCTTTTTTCTTAAATACGTTTTATTTTTCACTACTGCTAAATACTAATATTTGGTGGTGGTTTTTATTTAACTTTTTTTCATAGTCTTCTTTATACAAAAAAACTTTCTATATGACAATGAGAGAAATTGTTCATTTACAAACCGGCCAATGTGGCAATCAAATAGGTGCTAAATTTTGGGAAGTCATCTCAGATGAACATGGTATAGACTACTCTGGTGCCTACCAAGGTGACTCTGACCTTCAACTTGAAAGGATATCTGTTTATTATAATGAAGCAGCAGGTGGAAAATACGTACCACGTGCCGTGCTTGTAGACCTTGAACCTGGTACTATGGACTCAGTTCGTGCTGGTCCTTTTGGACAACTTTTCCGTCCAGACAACTTTGTATTTGGTCAAAGTGGAGCTGGTAACAACTGGGCCAAAGGTCATTATACTGAAGGTGCCGAACTTGTAGACTCTGTATTAGATGTTGTTCGTAAAGAAGCAGAATCTTGTGACTGTTTACAAGGTTTTCAAATAACTCACTCTCTTGGTGGTGGTACTGGTGCTGGTATGGGTACTTTACTTATCTCAAAAATCCGTGAAGAATATCCCGATCGTATGATGTGTACTTTCTCTGTTGTTCCCTCACCAAAGGTAAATATAATATAGTATTATATACATGATTAATTAATTTACGCGTTTCTATTTTTTCTTCTTCTTGATAAATGTGAAAAATATTGTTAATTAATCATCATCATCATCGTCATCATTTTGATAGGTATCAGATACAGTCGTAGAACCATATAATGCTACTCTTTCAGTACATCAATTGGTAGAAAATTCCGATGAAACTTTCTGTATCGATAATGAAGCTTTATATGATATTTGCTTCCGTACATTGAAATTAAGTACTCCAACTTATGGTGATCTCAATCATTTGGTATCTGCTGTAATGAGCGGTATTACTACATGTTTAAGATTCCCCGGTCAATTAAATGCAGATTTAAGAAAATTAGCTGTAAACATGGGTAATTATTATTCTTTCTAAATATATATACATATGCATCATTCTTCATATTCGCTCAATTCACTCACACTCTTATTTCTTTCACATTACATTCTCATTAATAACCACATAGTACCATTCCCACGTCTTCATTTCTTTATGGTTGGTTTTGCACCATTGACCTCTAGAGGATCACAAGGATACCGTGCATTGACCGTTCCAGAATTGACTCAACAAATGTTCGATGCCAAAAACATGATGGCAGCCTCAGATCCAAGACATGGTCGTTATTTGACTGTAGCTGCTATGTTCAGAGGACGTTGCTCAATGAAAGAAGTAGACGATCAAATGTTACTTGTTCAAACAAAGAACAGTTCATACTTTGTCGAATGGATTCCAAACAACGTCAAAAGTAAGTTGAAAAAAAAAATTTTTATGAAGAGAGGGATATATCATTATTTTGACATTTTTGTAAATTTATACTAATTAATTGATTATAAAAACAATTTTTTTTAGCCGCTGTATGTGATATTCCACCAAAAGGTCTTAAAATGTCAGTCACCTTTATCGGTAACTCCACATCCATTCAAGAATTATTCAAACGTATCAGCGATCAATTCACTGCTATGTTTAGACGTAAGGCTTTCTTACATTGGTATACTGGTGAGGGTATGGATGAAATGGAATTCACTGAAGCTGAATCTAATATGAACGATTTAGTATCAGAGTATGTATCATAGTAGTAGTGATATTTAATATTTTGCGACTTTTTATGTCTATTTATTTATTTATTTTTATATTAACTTATTTAATCAAATTTAATTCTTTAGATATCAACAATATCAAGAAGCAACAGTAGAAGAAGAACAAGAAGAGTATGAAGAAGAATTAGAACAAGATGCCGATGTTTAATTTAATTATAGAATACATCAATAAAAATAATCAAAAAATAAAAATATAAAAAAACAATATAACAAAGCACATACAATACATACATATATTTTTTTTAAAATATTATAAATTTTTTCATAAATTTTATTTTTTTGTGTGGTGGAGTTTTTTTTAAACAAAAAATAATAATTATAATAATAATAATAATTTAGAATAAATA